GGAGGAGGAGGGGGGAGGAGGAGGAGGAGGTGGGGGGAAGGATGAGAAGGAGGAGGAGGAGGAGGGGGAGGAGGAGGAGGAGGAGGAGGAGGAGGAGGAGGAGGAGGAGGAGGAGGAGGAGGAACCATTGCGTCTTCGTGCCCGCGTCGGCGCGCTCCTCGCGGAGGTCGCGGCCGTGCGCTTCGGGCCCCGGCCGGAGTTCCCGCGGCGTCTCCGCCGCGCCCCATTGCGGCGCGCCTCGCCGAGCGGGCGGCGCCCCGCGGGGGGGCGCCGCCCGCGTGCCTAGCATTGCGCATGGCGTGTGCGTGCGAGCGTCTGCTTCCGTTTGCACAGATCGCGCTCGGCGGCGTCCTCCTCCTCGATGCTCCTTGACCGGGGGGGGGGGGGGGGGGGCGGCTGGCGCAGGGGGCGGGGGCGGGGGCGCGGGGAACATGATGTGGGGCATGGGGGCGCGGAGGGGGGGGGGCGAACGGGCGGTTAGGGGGGGGGCAGATGGGGTGGCGAGGGGAGGAAGACGTGAACGAGGACGGGGGCGGGTGGCGGGTTCGCGGCGCGGTCGATGGGGGGCGATGGTGGGCTGCGGAGGGAGGAAAGCTGAGCGCAGGGGCGCGGGGTCCGTCGCCATTTTGGCTCAAGCTGGCGCTGCGGCGTCGTTTCCAGTCGGGCCAGAGTCAGTGCTCCTCCTGTCCGCAATGCGGCGGATGGGCGGGGGCGCCAGCGAGGGCGCCCGCGCGCGTTCCCAGGCCGCCGCGCGGCCCCGCCCATAATTTCTCGCACGCCCGGCCGCGGGCTCGCACTCGGTGCGCCGGCGCGAGGCGGCGCTCGCCTAGAGACGGCGCCGAGACCCCAGACCCCCTCGCGTCGTGAAAAAATCACGACGGGAGGTTTTTAATGATTTTTGGCTTCTGGGGGCCCCTACCGGCCCTCGGGGCCGTCAAAAAACGACTCAGGACGAAAAACCGGTCCCGGGGAATGGGTCGAGACCTGTCATGAAAAAATCATGACGTCGGGGGTCAGGGACCAGGGGCGGCGGTTTTCCGCTGCGGGTGCCTGGGCCGCGGCGGCCGTGCCCGCGCCTGCCCAAACTTGCCCCGGGCGGGGCGCGTGGCGCGCGCGCCTGCTGTCGGCAACCGCGCCGGCGCCGTTTTGGCCGACGCGCTCAACAGAACAAACGCCCCGAACAGGTCGGCGCATCGACGCGCGCCCCCCAAGCGAGCCGAGTTCGAAGTGTCCGATGCCAGCGAGTGGCAAGCCATGTGCAGCAGCGGCGCCGTGGCCTGCGTCCGCCAGACATCGGCGTCGAGCTCCGTCGCTCCTTTCCGAGTCGAGTTGCGAGCTCGAGAATGGTCGGGGGGTGGAAGCTTCGCGAGGGCGCACTCTGTCGGCCGACGGCGATGTCGCGGCGGTGCGCGAGGGGGCGCGAGGGCGAGGACGCGGCGGAGTTTAGTGTCTGCGCCCCGACCCCCCAGATGGGGCCACGCATGGTTTTCTTGATCGTTTCCCCCGTGCACGGCCTTGAGTTGCACGGCGGCGATCTCAAACATTCAGCCACGCGCAAAGGGGGGCGGGGAAGGGGGGGGGCTTCTTAGCAGCGCCCCTGCTTCTTCGAAGGCGCGGGCCTCATTTGCAGATGCAAGGCCGGCGCCTTCTAAGAAGCAGCCTCCTTCTAGGAAGCACCCCCCCCCGCCCCCCTGTGCGCGCCGCCACAGAATGCCTTCTGCCAGAGTGACGAGTTGCATCGTCCCCGTGGTCGTGTCTTCGTTGGGCCGCGCCTAGGGCTTCGGCTGCCCCCTGGCTCTTTGACGGAGCTCGTCGCCCCTGCCTCGGGGCTCGACGACGCGCCCCTTGCCCTCCGCGAGATAACGCGCGATTTGATGTCCAAAGACGGGTGTCGGAACACCAGTATGGCGCCGTGCTGGTTCTGCGCGAGCGGGAAGTGAGGCCTCAGGTTCTTGTCGAGGTTAATGGCTGGCTTTTCGCGGTGGCTCCGGATATCGGAGGATCGGATCGCTCGGTTTCCTGGGCGGTTCGAGTTTGGGAACTTGAAGCGGGCGAGCCAGCGGGGCGCTGACTTCGCGGGAGGGCGCCCCCCTTGGGTGCACGACCGCGCGCGTATAGATCAGGGGAAGTACATTCTTGAAAGCTCGCGTAGGGTTGTGCTGCCTAGAGAGCGACGCGGTAATCATTCTAAGACTCTCATTCCCCATGAGTCCGAAGAGTGTAGGTCCTTGCCGTGCAAAATGAATTGGACTGGCAGGGATCGCGCGCCGAGGCGGCAGTCGCAGCCTCGATGCTCGTCACCCGCCTGAACCATGCGCGCATCGGGAACGCGCTGGATGCCGACCCGATGGTCGAGCACTACTCTCGGAACGCGGCTCAGGTTCCATTGATGGCGTGGCCTTCCCGCCCCGGCCGAATGGTCTTCGCGACCGCGGGCGACTGCGGGGGAGTTGGTGGCCGGGGCAGCGGTGAGGTCCAGCGCGCGTGGCAGTTCTATGTTGCCGACCCCTCGGTGTCGGAAGGGCGTCTGGCGAGAGTTACTACGATCGCCGGGAGGTCCTATCGGGCCCCTCGGCCGCCCGCTCTCGGGGGCGAGTTTTCAGCTTGGTGTGGGAAGCTGTTGCGGAGGCCGGGTGGCTTCAGATATAGCTCCTGGGCTTTGCCTACGGAGGGCTTCTCACCGAGTATTGGCGGGGCTCAGTGGGTCCGTTCGCGGCGGTTCTCCGGCGAGGCTGCCAGTTGAAAGTTAAGCCCCTGGAGAAACGTAACGCAGCGGGCGCGAAGGGATTCTTCGATGAGCTCGATGAGGAGACGAGTGGTTCCTCAGCCGACAGACGCATGGCCATCGACTTGGCAGTGGCCAGGTCCGTGATGACCAGAGTGGGCAGTCACGTGCGGTGGGTTCCACTTCCCGGCAGTTACAGTTCAATCACTTCGGGTCTGCCCCGGCTTGCAGCAGAGGCTGACAGTCTTCAGGACAGAGGCCAGAGCAGCAGGAAGAGACGGGCCCAGGGCGTCCCCAAGGGGACATTTGGCCAGATTGCATGGCGAGGGTGACGGACTTTCCAGTTCCCCATCCCCCGAACAATCGTGTGAGGCAACGTCCGCTCTGGCAGAGGTGCAGTGGCCCAGGCGCTTCTTCCGTCCCAGATGGGTCTGGGCATCTCAGGCTGGGGTCCGAGGCGTCGAGGCCTCCTGTGCCGTGCCGAGGGAGTGAAGCCCGGAATGAAGTTCGGCCAGTCCGCATTGAAGTTCGGTCTCTCCCTCGCAGGCGGGTCCCCCAGCGGACGTGGCACCGCGCCTTCGAGACGACATTCGACCCGACGTTGTCTTTCCCTGGGCCCTTCTCCTGGTGGGTGGTGTGTGGTGGTTTTCTTGTTCCCTTTCTTTCTCTTCTTCCCTCTCTCCACCCGCTTTTCCTGTCCTGGTTGACTGGAGAGCGGGGCCGTGGGCGCGGGCCACGGGGCGATGTGCGTCAGCGATCTGTGCTGATTCATCAGGTTTCGTTCATTCCACAGCACAAGACCACTTTAGAGCTCAGAGAAATTGGGTTGACTGACGACTCATGGTGCGCTCATGTGGGCTTAAAGGTTGTACATGTGCTTGTGCAGCGTTCCAGAAATGCGCGTTGCTCCGTGACTGTTTGGGCTCAAGGCACCTCTGTATGTTGGCTTTCTTGGAAAACCTGCTGTCACATTGCCAATGTGTCCACGTCGGCCAGGATTCTTAGAGACATTAGATTCATACCGGGGCATGAGTATCCTATGTGGCCATGCGGACGCATCCTTTTGGGCCTTCCGTGAAGCTCGCGATGGGGCCGCGATACGTGTAAGAGGTGTACCGAAATTGCTGCTGCGGGCCATGTGAACGCAGATACTGGGGCCGTCGGGTTCATTATGGGGCCACGAGCCGTGAGAGGTGTGTGCTGGAATGGGTGCGGCGGTGCAGTGTAAAAGCGGCCACTGGGGCCTTCGGTCGGGCTTCCTATGTTGCCACGAAGCGTGTGATGGGCGTACTGAAATGGGCGCGGCGGTGCTACGCGAACGCTGTCACTGGTGCTCACAGGGCCACGGAACGTGTGATGGGGTCTGCCACGATGGGCACGGCGGTGCCATGCGAACGCGAATTCTGCTCCCCGTGGGGCCACGGAACATGTGAGGGGCTTTTGCCACGGGCATGGTGATGCCAATGGACATGATGACGAGTATACAAACATTCGCGGGGTAGGGGCAGGGGTGGGAGGAGGAGGAGGAGGAGGAGGAGGAGGAGGAGGAGGAGGAGGAGGAGGAGGAGGAGGCGGAGGAGGAGGAGGAGAAGGAGGAGGAGGAGAGGAGGAGGAGGAGGAGGAAGGGATGGAGGAGGGCGAGGAGGACGAGGAAGAGGACGAGGAGGAGGAGGACCAGCATCAGGATCAGGATGAGGAGGTGGAGGAAGAGGAGGTGGAGTAGGAGGAGGAGGAGGAGGAGGAGGAGGAGGAGGAGGAGGAGGAGGTGGAGGAGTAGGAGGAGGAAGAGGAGGAGAGGAGGAGGAGGAGGAGGAGGAGGAGGGAGGAGGAGGAGGAAGAGGGGAAGAGGAGGAGGATGATGAGGAGGAGGACGAAGAGGAGGGGAGGAAGAGGAGGAGGAGAGGAACAGGAGGAGAGGAGGAGGGAGGAGGAGGAGGAGGAGGAGGAGGAGGAGGAGGAGGAGGAGGAGGAGTAGGAGAGGAGGAGGAGGAGGAGGAGGAGGAGGAGGAGGAGGAGGGGGAGGAGGAGGAGGAGGAGGAGAGGAGGAACGTGTTGCGGTGTCTCTCCGTGGCGAGGGCTCAATGCGACAGGACGGCTGAGCGAAACAAGGAAGGACAGTGTTTGGCACAGCCGGTAACCTCCTGATCAGCCTCCATTAAGCGTCGCTGAATGGGGGTGCGATCTATGGGGGGAAGAAAGGTATTCTTCTCGGGCCTTGAAAGCCTTTTGTTCGGCCGCAAAGGGCCCCAGCCCTCGCTGCCCACCCTTCAATCGCCCCCCCGTTATGCGACGTCCAACTCCTTTGACCTTCACTTTTCCATATTCCTTTCACACCGCCCAGTTCTCCCCGCAGAAGTGTTGGACCAAGATGTTTCACCAGTCTGAGTTGCCGCCCCTCCGTCTGCGGGGCCGCTCTCACCAAGAGCCGGTGTGTAGGCCGTGCCATACCGTAACTGTGCTTTTCTCGCGTTTCGACTCTTGCTGGGCGTTGGCGCTGGTCGAAGCAACGCTTCGTCTCTTCCTCTCTCTCGCCGCCCCATTCTCGCAGACGGCGGGGTGATGCAGGTGCGTTGGCCCAGAGTTGAGCCAGCAAGGGTGTGCGACCTCGTGCCAAACGGTCGGGCGCTCGCGGGTTATGCTCCAATCTTCCACTTGCGAGAACCAGATCACCCAAAGGGGCGCGAAGACAACAGCGCTTCGCACGTCGTGGCCAGGGCTGCGGAGCTGGCCTTCTCCGGGGGGCGGCGCACAGGCACGGAGAGACTGAGCCGCCCCTCGCGCCTCGCGCGGCTCCGCTGCGCGAGGCGAGGCGATCCAGGGGAGCGGCCGAGGACTGCGTGAGCAGCACGCCGTCAGGCGCAAGGCGATGTGGAGCAGCAGTGTGCGCGTCAGTCTTTGAGGTCGGGCTGGGCTCTCCGTGCCGCCGCGCGTGCCGGCCCGGGGCGGGGCTCGGAAGGAATGTTGGCCAGGTGTGCTCGCTGCGCTGCGCGCTTCGGCCGAGGCCCAGGCACGGCACGCGAGTAAGGCCGATCAGGGTGCTGGGTTGCGTCATCGTCCGACGCGGCGGGCGCTGGCGTGTGCGCCCTCGTCTTGGGCGACTTTCGCAGTCCTCGATGGGGCTCACTCGAGTCGATTTTTTATCTGGAGCCGGATGAGCTTGCACGTAAGCTGTTAAGCACGGCTTGGGTCCTGGCATGGGGCCCTATTGTTTGCTGCGCCATTGCCATAGCGAAATGCACGCGCCGCGATTCGGGTGGCCCGGGCAATCCAGACATCTGCAGTGCTGGGGTCGAGTAAAAATTTAGCACAGAGTGTCTGGATCTCTGCCCATCGTGAGCATGCATCTCATTCTCCTCCATCGGCCTCTCTTTCATCATCTTCTCTCACGGGCTAACACGACCAGGGCCCGCAGGAGTGTGCCACATTGAGCCCGCAGAGCGGAAGTCACGGCGGGCCCCCGGATGGATTCTCGCAAGCAGCTTTCACGATCAGTGGGTGTTCGAGGCGTGGCTTCGACGAGATTCGGTGTCATTCGTGGCAGTCTTTCTGATGGCCGTCTTGGTCTCCCCTCTGCGGGCAGGCGGTCCTGGGAGCCAGCAGCGGGGCCATCGGGGGGTGCACGGGCCACGAAGTGTGCCAGGGCCCGCCGGGGGGCCCGCCGCATTCAAGCGCTCCGCCTCTTCCGCCGGCCTTCGCTGCATGACCTTTTGTCTCTTGCCCGTGCCCTCGCGGGGACCTTGCGTCGGGACGATCGACATGGGTATACGGACAGAATGAGCACAGAGACCGACAGCAGGTTCTGTTCATTCTGAACAGGACTCGCTGTCGGTGTCGCCGCGGCCTGTGTCCGTTTTGAAACAGGACGCCGCCTGCCGAACAGCGGCCGCTGTTGGTTTGGGACAACATTTGTTGGGCACTGTGCCAATTTTTCTGTACCCATGTCGGGCGTCCGAGTTGATGGTGCTGGGTTGTGATCATTTCCTCAAGTTGTCGTGTGAAGCTCGCGTTGATGTAAGCAGTCGCTTGGTAGATGGATGGTAGCGCTCAGGCCTTCGGCCCATCCCGCCATCGTGCCTGAGTTGTGTGTCAGCGGTCAGCGGCCTCTTGGATGCATGTGAGGGTTTCTTGGGGGCCTCCTGGACATCTTGGGGGCCTCGTGGGCATCTTGGTGCCTCTTGGGGGCCTATTTCGGCCCTCCTGGGGTTTTTATAGGGGCCTATCGGGGGCGTCTTGCAGCATCTTGTGGGTATCTTGGGGGCTTGCTGGCGGTCCCCAGGGTCGTCTTGTAGTCGAGGGCTGAACATGTACGTATGTTGGGTATGCTCTTCTGGGTCCCCTCTTGGGGCCCTCTTGGGCAGTCTTGGGATGCTTTTGGGCCGTCTTGGGGCCCTCTTGGGCCGTCTTGGGGCCGGCTAGGAGGCCTCTTATGTCGTCTTGGGGCGAGGTTGCGGGCCTTTTCGTTTGTCTTGGGCTATCTTGAAGCCATTGTTGGGTCATTTTGAAAGCTGTTTGGGCCGTCTTGAGCCGACTGACGCCAGAGCAGACAAGAACCTTAGTTGGCGGGTGGAGTCAGTGAGACAGGCGGCCCGCTCTTGATTCAAAACGAGGGCCCCATACCACAGGATGGTTGGGAATCAATGTGGTTTCCCTTTGGGGTCATTCCTTGAATGTCCTCTTGATGCGTTCTTGGCGGCCTCTTGGGCTGCTTGAGGCGATATTGGGCTGTCTTGGAGCTCTCCTGGACCGTCTTGGATCCTCTGAAGCGTTCCTGAGGCCATCTTGCAGATTGTGAAGATGTCTCGAGCGAGGCGCTGGATTCAGCACCCCAAGGGGGGCCCGCCAGGCGTGGTTTCATGGTCCCGTTCGCGCCCAGATTGCGGGGATGTCTCAGGCGATTTGCGTGTCTTGTTGCCCAGACTCCTCGGCTTTCAGAGCACACTGTGAGGATGTCTCAGCCGGCGTGTTGGCTTCACCGTCTCACAGGAGGCCTTCAGGTGTGGTGCCACGACCATGTTCGCGCCCAGATTGTGCAGACGTCTCAGCGGGCTGCTGGTTTTGTTGCTCAGACACATCTGCTCTCATAGTTACTTGCCTGTGAGGGTATATCAACCCATTTGCTGGCTTCAGCACCCCAAGGGGGAGCCGTCAGGGTTGGTGTTACGGCCTCGTTCTCGCCTAGATCGTGGGGACGTCTCAGGTGATTTGCCTGTTTGGTTGCCCAGACGCTGCGTTCTGAGCGGAGTGTGAGGATGGCTCAGGCGATTGGCTTGTTTGGCGGCCCAACTTCCTCTCCGCTTTCAAGGCACATCGTGAGGATGCCTTAAGCGGTTTGCCTGTCTGGTTGTCCAGACTCTTCTGCATTGTGAAGCTGTCTCAGGCGAGGCGCTGGCTTCAGCACCCAAGGCAGGGAACCGCCAGGGCCCGTTGGCGTCTGATTGTGTAGGTGTCTCCAGCGGTGTGCATGTTTTGGCTCGCCAAGATTGTGAGGATGCCGTGAGCGAGGTGGTGAGCTCAGCACCCCAAGGGGGAGCCGCCAGGGAGCTGATGTCGAGGATGCCCCTGGCGAGGCGCTGGTTTTAGCACCCCATGGAGGAACCGCCAGTGAACAGTTTGAGGATGTCTCAAGTGGGGCTTCAGCCTCCCCAGAAGGGGGTGCCGCCAAAGGGTAGGACCCTGGTCCGTTCGCTGCGCTACTGCGGGGACGCCTCGAGCGATGCTCGTTTTGCACCTCAGACTCTCGTCTATTCAGAGTCCCATGATCACCTCGATGTCGGGAACAACGGCGGCCGCCAGGGAGGAGCAGGGAGGACGCAGGAGGAATCTGGAGGACGCAGGACGAGGGAGGAGGGAGGAGGAATGAAGACCGCGGATGGGCCACGGCGAGGAGGGAAAGGAAGGAGAGGGGAGGGGGCCGCCAGGAAGGGTGGCACTGTTCAGGGAGGAGGTTGGCGAAGAAGGAGGAGGCGGAGGAGGAGGAGGCGGAGGAGGCGGAGGAGGAGGAGGAGGTGCAGGAGGAGGAGGAGGAGGAGGAGGAGGAGGAGGAGGAGGAGGAGGAAGAGGAGGAGGACGGGATGTGGTGGAGGGCGAGGAGGACGAGGAAGAGGACGAGGAGGAGGAGGATCAGGATCAGGATCAGGAGGAGGAGGAGGAGGTGGAAGAAGAGGAGGTGGAGTAGGAGGAGGAGGATGAGGACGAGGCGGAGGAGGAGGAGGAGGAGGAGGAGGAGAGGAGGAGGAGGAGGAGGAGGAGGAAGGGATGGAGGAGGAAGGGATGTGGAGGAGGGCGAGGAGGCCGAGGAGGAGGAGAGGAGGAGGAGGAGGACGAGAGGAGGACGAGGAGAAGGCCGAGGAGGAGGAGGAGGAGGAGAGGAGTCGAGGAGGAAGAAGAGGAAGGGAAGGAGGAAGGAGGGCGAGGAGGATGAAGGAGGAGGATGAGGAGAGGAGGAGCAGGAAGTGGAGGAGGAGAGGAGGAGGAGCAGAAGGAGGAGAGGAGGAGGAGGAGGAGGAGGAGGAGGAGGAGGAGGAGGAGGAAGAGGAGGAGGAGGAGGAGGAGGAGGAGGAGGAGGAGGAGGAGGAAAGAGGAGGACGCAGGATGTGGAGGAGGAATAATGTCTGCCGCCAGAGAGGATGAGAGACAGCGGAGGAAGAAGGAGGCGCACCCAGGAGGAGGGAACAAGTGAGGAAGGAGGAAGAGAACTGAGGGGGAACGATGAGGAGGAAGAGGATGAGGGGAGGGACCTGCTCATCGCCTGTTTGTGAGTTGTTGGCGTCGTCGTTGCAGTCCCTCATCGTAGCCGCCGCCGTCGCCGTTGCCGCCGCCGCCGCCGTCGCCGCCGCCGCCGCCGCCGCCGTCGCCGTCGCCGTCGCCGTCGCCGTCGCCGCCGCCGTCGTCGTCGTCGTCGTCGTCGTCGTCGTCGTCGTCGTCGTCGTCGTCGTTGTTGCCCTACCCGTCGTCGACTTGGACTCGTTCCCACACAGCCAGGCACTCAGAGCGGGACGTGCTAGGATGCTCAGATGCTCGCATGAGTTTTGCTCTCTCGTTGAGGAAGCCATCCTGGACGCTCCAACTCGTGCCGACCCTCCCTCAAGACCCAGGGGTAGGAACTCCCCCCAATGGGGCGGGCGAGCCCCTCCAGCCCCCGCTCGGCAGCGTGCGGAGGACTCCCACGCGCCAGCACGGTCCCGAGAGGTCTCCAAGAGGGCCCAGGAGGCCTCCAAGACCGCCCAAGACCGCCCCGGGGCGCCGCAGAGGGGCCCTCGAGGAGCCCAAGACCGGCCCTCGAGGCCCCCTCCGTAGCCTCTTTGCCTCAAGCCCCCCCTGGCTCGATCGTCACTGGGCCCAGCGGCCGGATCCTCCCCGCCGCTTTCGGCCCGGGAGCCCCGGCCGGCCAGGGGCGGCCCCCCCGGGGGAACGAGCGCCCCCCTCCCGCGCAGCAGGCGAGAGCCGGCCGACAGCGGCCCACGGAGCTGCGTACCGAGGAGCGGGCCCGGGGCCCCGTCCACGGCGCCACCGGCCTCACAGCCGGGTGGGGCCATGTCTGGGCGGTCCGCGGCGGGTCCCGAGGTGTCGTCGGTGGTCTCGGAGGCGCTGGCGCCCGGCGTTGACAAGAGCCCCGGCTCTGGGACGACCGCTCGCGGCAGCCAGCTGTCCGCAGGGCTCGCGGGCGCTCGGGACTGCCCATCGGAGGCGCCTTCGTCTCTGGCGGGCAACATCTCCGAGTCAGAGTTCGTATCCTCTGTCGGCAGCGTCGATTCAGTGTCCACGGGCCGCAGCGTATCGAACGGCAGCAGCATATTAGTCTCCAAAATCTCGGACGGCCGCAGGATTGGACACGGAATGACCGACGAGCAGTTGATGGAGCTGGTTCCGAGGAGCGTTGATGGCGATGCGATGTCCCTGGGGAGCGTGGGGCACGAGATCGGCAGATGCAACGCCCCTTGCGTGTACGCCCAGACTCCGCGTGCTCGGTGCCCGTCGGGGCTGCGATGTAACTTCTGCCACTTCCCTCACACGCCGGGCCGCAATCCCGCTAGGTTGCCCAGGAGACTGTCCGATAGCTCGCCGAACGGTGCTTCCGAGCCGACGCTGTCGATCTAGCCTCGATGGGCGGCGGAGTGATGATCAGGGGCCGCGTTTCAGACAAAGCCTGGCCCGGCGTTGCTTGGCGCTGCACCTGCACCCCACGGCTTGCTGGGCAGTGCTATCTGGGCCTGCTCCAGACGGGAGTGTCCATGCCGGGGGTCGGGTCGTGAGACTTAGTGAGGCGCTTGGTTGCGGCGCAAACAGCGCATAGGAGTAGTCCGCCTTAGTCTCAACGCCCAGCCCGCCTTGTCCTGCGCGGCCTCGTCTTCTCCCCGTTGTGGTTGAGATATGGTTGTTTGTGTATAGGAGTTTGCGGCGCTGCGTTTCGGCATTGCGACGGTAGGCTGGCGGAGGGAAGGCATCATCATCGGTTGGGGGAGCATTCGGTTGAACGCGCCACGATGTGTATTCTGATTGCGCGAAGTTTTGCCAGAGTTGCAGCCGGTGTTCAGTATTGAACTGCACGTTGCAATTTTTTGCCCAGTTCCAATCGACCACAGACATCAGCAGCCACAACGTGAATTTGGAGGTGACGTTAAGAGGTGGCTTGCCGCAAGTCGGCGCCTCGCCAGTGACAATACTCTCCAAGAAACCCCCAGGAGTCCCCCAAGACGCGACAAACAATCCTTGTAACTCTGGCTGTTGAGAAGAGTTTGCGGTTCCTGCCTTTTCTCTTTCATTAGAGCCCCGTGCGGCCGGAGAAGTTATGAATGTCCTGTCGCAGGGGACGGCCCTTGGCCCTGGCATTTCACTGTTTCGAACGGCTTGCGACTCGCAGCCAACAGCTTGGATCTTCCCAGTTAGGTGGGTTGCCATCTGTCTGGTTTATGCCATGGTTTGGTGCAGCCACCCAAAATTACAGAAGGGCGGCTCTTGGCCCTTGTACGATTAGCACTGGAGTTCCCCACTGACATTGTGCTGCACATGAGAAGGAAAGGGCCAGCCGAGACCACTGTAGAACCTCGTTCTCAGATCCACCATTTGCGAGGTTCCCTCTTCCTCATCTTCCTCGTTTTCCCCCTCCTCGCCTCGATGGTTGGAACCCGACGCTGGTCCGTGATCTCGCTATCCCCCGGCTTCTCCCCTTCGCCACCCGCAGTCGTCGGCCGAGTTTTTTGCAACGTGTACTTGGCAGGCGCTCCTTCGGCCGGGGCCTGCTGACAGGCAATGCCCTGCTCCAGCTGCCGGTCGCGCTGCCTGACGTGCCATATCAGGTAGCTCAAGTCGTACGCACTCAAGTTTGCAGTATGTGGCTACCAATTTGCACGTGTCCCGCGCCGCCTTTCGCTGGCGGTGCCCTGGTCTGTCTGCGCTCGTCCAACGTGCGCTTGGGAGAAGCAAAGCGGCCCTCGAGGCCCCGAAGGCGCCCCCCAAGACCGTCCCAAGAGGGTTC